TTTATTTCTCTGACATAGGTGGAATCAGACAGTGTTTAGCTTTTGGTGATGGGTTTATTTCACTTAGCACAATGGCTCCACAAATGAAGGTACTTGCCACTGAATCTGATGACTTGAGTTCAATCCCCAGAACCCACATGGTGATAGGAGAGAACTGATTTCTATAACTTGTCCTCTGACCTCTACATGTGCACCATGGCATGTGCGTGCATGCAGATGTAACATAAACACATGAAATAAATTTTAAAAAATCATCAGAGAGATGGCTCAGCGGTTAAGAGCACTGACTGTTCTTGCAGAGGACCTGGGTTCAATTCCCAGCACCCGCATGATGGCTAACAACCATCTGTAACTCCAGTTCAAGGGGAGTCTGACACCTTCTTCTGACCTCCGTGGGCATTGCACGACATGGGTGCACTTACACACATATAGGCAGTACACTCATACACATAAAAATAATAAATAAAGATTAAAAAAATCATCTATGTGGTAGCATATGTTAGAATTTCTTTCCTTTTCCATGCAGAATCATTTTTGTTTGTTAGCTTGTTTTTGAGACAGAGTCTCACTATGTAGCTTTGGCTGGCCTGAAACTCACCATGTAGACCAGGTTGACCTTGGACTCATAGAGATCACCTTCTTTGCCCACTAAGCACTGGGATCAAAAGTGTATACCACCACACCTTCCTTACTCCAGAATACTGAGGTACAGTTTACACACAAAATAAAATATTATTGCCCATTCCAGTGATATTTGTTGAAAAGACTGTGTTTACCACTGAATGGAACTGATACCCTCATTAGAAATCAACTGATTATAGGTGCAAGGATTAATTTCTGGTATATGCATTGATGATCCCTTCTCTTCCATCTGTGCATTCTATGTCTTTATGTCAGTGTCACACTGTTTTATTATTGTAGCTTTGTAGTAAGCTTGGGAATTAGAAGATGTGACTTCACCTTTGTTCTTTTGTTTTGTTTTGTTTTTTGATATTTTTTATTTTTAAGCATTTTTCTTTTAAAAATGTTTTTAAAAATTTATTGTTTTTATTTTATGTGTACGAGTGTATTGCCTGCATGTATGTGAGTGCACCTGTGTTGTGCAGTGCCGTGGAGGTCAGAAGAGGGCTTCGGATTCCCCTGGAACTGGAGTTAAGGATGGTTCGTAGCCACCATGTGGATGCTGGGAATTGAACCTGGGTCCTCTGCAAGAGCAGTCAGTGCTCTTAACCACTGAGCCATCTCTCCAGCCCTTATTCAGTTTTTTTTTCTAACTCTTATGAGCATAACGTTTCTGAACCTAATTGTATTTGTCCCCTCTTTTCTTTCCTTTCTGACCTGGGCCTTCGTTCATCTCTAACTTTCTATGTCCTCCATTGAGAAAGTTGAAGTCAGTGCTCCCCTTATTTTTCAACCATCCCTTAATCAAACACATCTTAACCATTATGATTCTCTTGTGGAGAATAACCTCACTTCAAAGCTTTCTCGTCGTACCAACATTATAGTCAGGCTGGGTCTAGACATATAAACATCCTATCTGTTTTCCCTTTTCAGTGTCCACTCTGTTGTCATCTAATACAGTACTTTCATAGATTTTTCCATGAACGTTTCCTTGAAGCAATCCCTTGGCAATAGTTTTATTCCTGTGACGCTTACACGGCGATTTGTCCAACTCCTTTGTACTCGTCTCCCTGGGATTTTCCCTCCAAATTCAATTAGACATTTTTTTCAACCACTAGGGAGATCGGTCCCAGTTTTTATTGGAAAACAATTCAACTGTTCTCACAAAATATTGGTACTCTAAGGGGCATCATCAAAGAATTTTGATTCTGATTCTCTTCAGAAATGAATCCGTGTACTCTGTAAGGACTTTTCCTCTTTTTAAGTGGCATGTATGTATTTTTTTCCTTGTTTTTTTTTTTGAGACAGGGTCTCCCTGTAGCCACAGTTGGCCTGGAATGCACTATGTAGACAATGCTGGCCTCAATCTCACAGAAATATGCCTGTCTCTGTCTCCTGAGTGCTGGAATTAAAGATGTGCACAACCATGCCTGACATTTATATATATATTTTTCTATTTATTGAATTTTTGTGCATTTCATACAATAGATCTTAATCATATTTAGACCCCTTTCCATATCTGCACCCTTCTGTGACCCCTTCCCAAGACTTCATACATTCTGTCATATATGTTAAGGACTATCAAGTCATTTGTAACCCCAGATGTTCCTCAGTGTGAGTTCATACACTGGAGCCTGGTCAACCTACCTAGTGTCACTTCCTTAAAGAAGACTAACTCTCCCTCTCCCAGCAGTGATCAGCTGACAATATTTCCTCCACTAAGGTAGGGACTAGATTTTTTAAAGGTACCAGACTTCTTCACTGAACTGGCCACAACTAAAACCTAATATGTATTCTAGTGCTTTCTTCAAGAGAATTTGAGCTTGAACGCATCACCTTTTCAACTTTGCAGTTCCCTCTCCTGACTCACACATTATCATTTTCCTTCACATCAGCCTGTTCTGTGTTTTAAAATCCTGACTTTTTTTTGAAGGATGTATCTTTCTCATTACTGCTCAGGTTGACGTCTTCTATTTTCCTTTCTTTCATTACCCTAATTTAAATGGTAAGAAACACAGTTATTCTTTTTAAACAGGCTCCAAATCCTTTTTGATTGTCAGAAATTGCAGAGCCAGAGATTGACAGCACAGCCTTTTAATCGGCTTCTTCAGTTGAGAGCATCCAGTCATCTCAGCTGTTCTTTCTCCATCCTGGCTTAGGAGAAGGGCAAATTATCCTTTTATACAGATACCCCATGGCCTTTTATTTAATATTAATAAAGTGGACTCTTCTTCCATGGTTACAGCCGCAGTTAGAATCTCCCATCCCAATGCTAACCAGGCTCAATACTGCTTAGCTTCTGAGATCAGACAAGATTGGATGCATTTAAAGTGGTATAGCTATAGACACAGTTTAAATCTCTGCACTTTGGTAATCAGGGTGGTTTTATATATTTATTTTCTGGGGAGGAAAAGAGTACTTGATCTTGAACCCTGGGCCTCAATTATGCTAGACAATCAAGCATTCTACTACTAACCTACATCCCTAGCCCAGGAGTCAGTTTCTTTAATTATCAAAGTCAGAGGCTACTTAGCATTGGGCTGTTGAGGTGGCTGAAGTCTATGGAAATGTCATTTGAATTAAAGTTTGTTCTTGTCACCTCTGGTGCTCTGCCTCTCTGAGTCAGAAATAGCACACGCTTACCCACAAAGGAACATGACTTTGTGAAGTTTCTATGCAAGGCAGGAATCGCTGTGCCTGGTGCTGAGTATTTTAATCTAAAACTTTATTAGCATTTGTAGCATTTTTATACATTTTTTATTTATTAATTTTATTTTAGGTGTATGGGTGCATTGCCTGCGTTATGTAAGTGCACCCTTGTCGTGCAATGACCGTGGAAGTCAGAAGAGGGCTTTGGATTCTCCTGGAATTGGAGTTAAGGACTGTTTGTAGCTGCCATGTGGGTGCTGGGAATCGAACCTGGGTCCTCTGCAAGGGCAGTCAGTGCTCTTAACCGCTGAGCCATCTCTCCAGCCCCATTTTTTAAATTCAGCCACTGTTCAAACTTTTGGTTTCTAGGGTGAGATTCATGTTAAGACGACAGAAGCGCCTGTGCTGGGAAATAAGAGCACACTTAACTTTGTAAGGTGGGGATGAAGCTTGCCGAGGAATTGTTTCTGTTCCTTAAATTTTTATTGCGTATTCATCAAATTTCTTTTCGGTCTGGATCATATATCAGTGGTGATGGAACCTTAGTAATCCACTTATGATCTGAACCATATTTTCTGGCACATGGTCTGTCCACCACAACACTGAGTTCTATGTCATCAGTGGTCATGCAGTTATCCGTGATGCTCAGTTCTTTCAGCCTGTACTTTTAGAGACACCTTAGATTTCTGTAGATGTTTCCAGAGGATTTTAAGGGTGAGAATGGCAAGCAGGGAATGAGAAGTTGGTCATGTATCTGAGATTTCAAGCCTTTCATTTAACCTAACCACTCTCTGCTTCTCCACGTGTATTATGTATATATTCTCTTTGATGTGAGATTTTTATTTGGGGAGCATTTTTCTTTGTTATTGTTTTGAGATATGTGCCCAGGTTGGTCTTGAATGCCCAATCCTCCTGCCCCAGACTTTTGCATGCTGAGATTTCCTTTGTATACTGCCATGTCTGGCTAATTTTTTCCAGTGGTGGAACTGAACCCAGAGCTTTGTACGTATAAGACAAGTGCTCTACCACTGAACTGCCTGCCTTGTTCTACATGTCTTCTATTTGACTAGATAAACTGTGCTACTATCAGACAATTCAGTGTTTCTGTCCAGAGGCAAACTAATTCCCCATTTCTCACCTCATTAGATTTCTTATAGGAAACAAATAAAATATAGACATAAAAAGCTTAAAAAGGGAATCGTAAAATAGTCTATGGATGTCAGCTAAGATTAGGATTCTTGTTTTTCTTGTCACTGTGTCATTCAGTCATTTGTTTAGGCATTAATTCACACACACACACACACACACACACACACACACACTCAACACTCCTAGACAACTATATGGCAGAACTTCCTGAGGCTGGACAAAGCAGCTGATGACTCAGTGTACTGATTAGCTGGGATTGCCATGACTAAATGTCACAAAATGAAGGGCAGAGACAGTAGAACTTTGCTCACAGTTTTGGAGGCTCTTAACTCAAAGGGTCAAAAGGGTCAATTCACTCTGAGAGCTGTGAGGAGTAATCTATCTCTTCCCTGCCTTGTAGCTTCAGATAGCTTGCTGGGAATCTTTGACATTTCCTGGCTTATAGATGTGCCACCCCAACCCGTATCACTATGTTGATATGAAATTCCCTGGGTGCAAACCTCTCCTTGTATTTTTCTGTTTTTTTTTTTTTTTTGAGACAGGGTCTCCCTGGCACCCCACCTGGCCTAGAACT